TGTCTTCTACTCTTATGTTCTCGTGTTCGAATCTGTGTGTTGGCTTTATCAAAATTGATCTAAGTTATAGCTCTAAAGGTGTATGAAAAATGTAAGCGACTAAATTAATTGTATCTGCAACTCAAAGTGCATGAAGTACTTGACGGTTTTCATTTTTTTTTTTCATCTAGAATATACGACACCACAGTTAGAGAAACGCTACGAAACGTTTTTAGAAAAACGATCGTTTCACAGCGTTCGTATTAGCACATGTGAAATGCGTTAAACCGGTCAGCATTAACGCGTTTCGCAACTATGGAAAAATGCGTTTTGAGACCCGTTTTTTTCGCAGAAATTTACGCCATGGGCACTGACCATTTTTTATTCATATTCTATTTAGCTATTCACCAATTGTAATACGAATTATATTTTTTTTCTTGACTTTTCTGATGTATAAAGTATAATGACATGAAAAATTTTTATTATTCGTTTACGACGAAATCAACAACTACCAGCGCCATTTTGGCAAGAAATATTTTATTAGTTTATTTTTTTTTTCTAATTATGTTATCAGATTTTAGTTAATCAACTTCTGGCAATATATTTGCATTAGTCTATTGAATATATCATCCTTACCAATCAAATAAATTATTTTTATATGCCAGAAAAATGATCGAGATCGGTTGACCATGTGTCTATGAAGTCAAGGGTTACAGTCAGAGTTACAGCAATACCCATCCCTGTATTCCATCCACAATTATAGATTGTGTTGTTTGAGTCAACTGGACACTTTCAAGTAGGAACTAGTGAGATGGCTAAAAAAGAGTCATCTTACCGCTCCTGAGATCCTCGAAAGTCTCGTTTATATACAATTTTTTTAACTTTGTATGTTAAGGTGCAATGTGGTTGTGCACTTTCTCGTCAGCGCGACAACACTCACACCCTTTTCTAGAGCTAATATGGTGACGACGTGTGAAGACTGAAAGGTCATGTTAAAGCGCTTCAAACATAAGAATAGAGTCTTCAACACTTCTTAGAATGCTCACCATTTTAGACTTCCGTTTTGTACAGAAAGGATGTGGGTGTAGGTTTCATGGACGAGAAAAATACCCAAACAGACATCCATACTCACACTCTTCAGTAAGCAAGCATATGGTTACCAGCCAATTACTTATGAAAATAATTTGCAAGTCGAACAGTCTTGAACTATTTGGCAGAACATATCTCGCTTGTCGACTATCTGATGAGATCTCTCCAAAATTCGTAAGTGCTCAAGTACTTGTATTTGAGAATATCGACCAGAGCCGCTTGATTCACTTATGCTAGCCCTTTCTCCAGTTTATTAGAACATGAACGAAACCCCTACTGTTCAGAGTGCTTGTCGAATTTAACTCCTGAATTGTGGTCAACTTCAACAAATCCTCACTAGCAAAATTGGTCATGGACAATCGCTATAATGATTAACTTGATGGTGGTTGGAACTTTTCTCAACTACTGTAGTAGTATTTTTCTGCATTTATTTGGTAAAGCCAGTAGAGAGCTATCTTTAACAACAATTATATTAACAAAGACTTTCTGCATATGGCGAATTTAACAATTTTCTTCCGTGGGCATCCAGACAAATGGAAAGTCAAGTTTTGCATATAATTTGTTAGACATTGTCAGTTTCTTGTAGCTGAGTAAAGCTTGAAGTATCTTTAGACAAAACCGAAGAGGCCATGTTCAAGCGTGACTGAGTTGCGACGCCTGATGACTGAGGATGAAATTGTTTATCAAGTTCTACTGTATCGCCATCAGTTTTGAGCTCTGTCATTTGTCCGAACGATTTGAAGGCCAATATCGAACGACCAAACACAAGATCCATATCTTCTAAACTTTTACCCTTTGTTTCTGGATAAAATAAAAATGTTACTATCGTCATGATAACACAAAAGCTGCCAAAAATAAGATATGTTCCATAGGTAATGCGTTCGAGAAGAACAGGTACGATAAATGAGACGGCGCAATTAGCCGCCCAATTGGCAGCTGTTGTCAGTGATGTGCCTTTGGCGCGCATATTTAATGGAAAAATTTCCGAACAGTATATCCAAGCAGTAGGACCCCAACTAAAAGCAAAGCCGGCAACAAAGACGTAGACCAAGATGATGATTGTATATGATGCTGTCTTGCTCGGTATGACAACTTCGATGGCCCCGGTCGTTTCATTAACAAATTTGTGCCCATACTCGTCCATGACACTGCCTATGGTTAGCATCGACAGAGCCATAAGTATTGCGCCAGAGATGAGTACCAGACGACGGCCCAGTTTGTCAATGAATAAAATAGCAGGAATGGTAGCAAGAATATTCACACATCCATTGATTCCAGTCGCAAGTAGAGATGCTCGTTGGCCAGGTAGACCGGCCTGTTTGAATATTTCAGGCGCATAGTACATGATCGAATTGATTCCGGTTAGTTGCTGCAAGAATTGAATACTAAGACCTATCAACAATCGACGACGTAGCGGAACACGAAATAGTTGAGAGTAGGATTGAACCGATTGTTCACGTTCAACAGCAATTTCATTTTTGATTTCGTTATATTCGATAAGTATGTTAGATTCCGACGCGGAGCGTATTTTTTTTAGAACTTCCATGGCTTGATCCTCACGATTGTGAGCCATCAACCAACGAGGCGAAAACGGAAAGAAAAGAATACCAATACCAAGAATGAACGCAGGGACGATTTGCAGTGCAAGCGGAATACGCCATGAAGCGCTGCTGCCAGACAAATGAATATCTGTGCCTAAAATGTACATTTTTTTAAAATTATGCTGGATATTTACAAAAACTTACCATAGTTGATCCAAAAACTGACTGCAATACCGATAGTAATAGCCCATTGTTGAAGAGACACGAGTCGTCCTCGAATTTCCTTCGGTGCAATTTCTGATTGATACACTGGCACTAGCATCGATAAAGCGCCAACGCCCAAACCTAGAATGGTATTGTGACATTATCAAAAATCAAATAGACTATTAGAATACAATCATATTTTTCTCCTACCGGAAATGAAACGAGATGCAAGTAGCATGCCTAAGTTGAAAGAGCTTGCTTGTATCGCAGCTCCAACACTGAAAATGACCGAAAAGAGAACGATCGAGTATTTTCGTGACAAACGATCACCGGCTTGACCTGCTACAAGTGCACCGAAAAAACAGCCGACTACAAGTAGGCCAACAATCGAGCCTGAGATGGTACTTGACAATGAACCACGCGATTCACTTGCTGTGCCACCAAATTGCCGAAGAAAACCGCGCATCGTGAGAACGCCCGATATGACACCGGTATCGTATCCAAAAAGAAAGCCACCAATGGCAGCAAAACCACCTGTAACATATACCTGAAAGTTGCTATGTGATGATGCCATGATGTGGCTCTATAAACCGGTTGGAGTGCGTGCATATTGTCGTGCATATTCAATTTATATAGTTTTGCTATATGGACGTGTTGATAATACTGCATATCTACCTTTTTATCCTTTCTAGTGTTACTACACTTCGGTTTATCTCTGTAGTAGATGCTCAGGTGAGTCAATACCAACTGAGTGTTGTGCAAACTGAGTTTCAGCAAGCTATAAAGTCAGCTCTTCTCTTGATTACTATTCGTTTGTGCGCAAGTGCATCATAGACCAAAGACTACTCTTCTAACGAAAAATGCACTACATCAGAAAAAGGGTAAATATGCTCATTGCTCTCTTTATCAAATAATGTGCGTATCTTTTTATTCTGTTGCGAATGCGCACATCTTTATCGGTGCAAGTTTCTACGTTATATTTCTATTATATTTCAAAAAAAATTTGCTTAATCTGATATGAAATCTGGTCGGTTGAAGTTTGTAAGATCCTTAATTGATGATTTTTTTGCTAGAAGTCGAAAAATACTAAACCGTTCATTATGGCGGACTATTTAGTTAAACCACTTCAAAGGTTATTTGCAACAGTACCAAGATCATACTGGTCTAGTGAGCCGATATTACTATTTCAGTTTACCAGCAGCATAATACTGGTGCATACCCATTAGATTTTAGCGATTAATAGAATTAGCGAAAATGTTATAGGCCGTCCTCTGCAGAAAGGGTCATATAAAATAAAGAGTTTTCAGCTATGCTTCCATGTTTCCTAGCATGTGTATAGTCACGTGTACACTTATATGTCTTACAGTTTCCAGTATGTATTCGAAATGAGGTTTTTCCATGCGGACAGTTCAACCAATAAGATCTTGCCGCTACCTAGTGCTTGGGTGTAGGTGTGTGGGTTTTGGTGTGGGTTGGTGTGTGGCTGTAGGTGTGGTGTGGGTGTGAGTGTGGGTGGGTGTGGGTGTGGGTGGATGTGTGGGTGTGAGTGGGTGTGTGGGTGAATTGAAGATCTATACTCACATCCATATCCACACTCACACACCCATCCACACCCACACCCTATACCCACACCGACACCCACACACTCACACCCACACACTCACACCCACATCCACACCCTACACCCACACCTTACACCCACACCCACATCCATATCCACATCCACACACCCACACCCTTATTGGCAGCTATTCTACATTGTTCAATGTGTCCTGGTCGATAAAACTTGATAGTCAACTCAATATATATGTTGCAGATTCAAATAATTATAGAATAAAATATTGCCTTCAATTCTTAAAAATATAGTTTTACTGGTTTTTTTTATTTATTTTGAATAAAATAAAACATCTACAATCTTTTTGCGTGGTACATGCAAATGAAATAATTGGCATACATAATTTTCTTTTGTCATTAATTTCAGCAGCGAAACTCTCAAATATACTATGTAAACATATGAAACCTTCTTATAACACATCTTGTCTTTCTTATACGTGACGAATAAAAAATATTCAACTTTCTTCGTTCTTATATTTCAATTTAATCACCACATCAGTGGAACAATTCATATTTGCTCGATCATTGAAAGAAATAGGAAATATAATAACGTATTGTCCGTTGTTGAAAAATATGGATAAAATAATGAAAAGTAGACATTAGTTAATGAAATGTTTTCTTATGAGAGAATAATAAGTGTTTTAGGTAATACATTGCCAAATCAGACAAATGTTATAAAAGTATCATATATTCGTCGTCAACGATCACTTAAGCATGAAGTAGGTACAATTTTTTTCAATTGCGATTCAATATGACTTTATCTAGCATCATTATCAATCAAAAATAAATACACAATCGAATGGTGCTATTCATGTTAGTATTCGATCAACAAATGATAAGTCTACTAATCACTATGAAAGTTTATATTCGATTCGATATATTTTTGATTTCTCTATTGTTTTAATATTATTTATTTTTTAATGTGATTCAATTCTCAGACACCTGCTGCTAATGACAAAACACGTCATTATCGAGATCATGCGCAAAAGCCAAGAAATAATCGAACATATCAACAAAGTTCAGAAAATACTCTAGATTCTGTAAGTATAACAAAATTTCATGGACATCATCCTTCCTTCTCGCATATAAGAAGAAAGTAAAAGAAGATATAATGAGAGTTTTGATAATCGAATAGTTAAAACCCGTTACTTCCATCAATTTTTATTTATAGTTAAATCCATATTTTATAAAAACTAATGGCTCAACAAAAAATGCTCAACAACACATGAATTTATCTACCAACTCTGCTCGTATGCAGAATCATTCTCAGTCAATAATCTTAAAACCTAGAAAATATCGATCGAGTTCATCGAAAGTTACTCATCATGACGTTGGTATTTATTTATTTTTCCTAGAAAAATGAACATTTATTTTTATATAGAACATTATTAAGGCTTTCTCCCCTCCCCCCCCCGAGTCAAAAATCTAACTAGGACAGGGTACATGAGGTATTGATGAAATTTTGCATAGATATTTAACTCATGGAAGTTAATTAATAAAAAAAATTCACGCCTCCATATTTTACCATTCAAAAGATTACCAGGGACCAAGCTATAAAAAATGGCTTTTACGTAGGGAAAGTTTCTATCAACATAGTTCAAGCTGCAGAACTCGAGTGGCTTTCATTTGAAAGAGAATTCCTTACTACATCAGATAAGGAAAAGGTCTTTTTTTAATTTTACTGTGTCCTTTTTCGGATCATGGAAACTTTAAAAGTGTGGAAATCATAGACATGACTTTCTGGAAATCTCAGGATTCATCTAGCATTGAGGATAAATTAGAAAATTCGTTTACCTCATATGAAGAACTATGAATATATCTATTGATAAACAAAGAACACAACTCTCTAGAATGTAGTCAATTATATTAAGAAAAAAAAATGTTCAGAGTTCGATTATTACCGAAAAATATCAGTTTTGAGAAAAACACAAAAGAATTTTTTCTTTTATGTAGCCATCCTTTTATCTATTTAAACTGGAGATGAAGCATAAATATAATATATTACATGTTAATCGAAGCACTTGTGTATGTACATTACATTGTTCTCGTACGAGATGCATCACGATAGATGATGCTACTTACCATTTTCTTTACATTTGCTATACCATTGAACAACGTAATACAGACAAAAATAACAAATTCATTTTTTAAGTCACCTGTTACCTTATAGGTTTTTTTTAAAGGCTATTAATGATGGTTAGTTTTTACTAGTAACTCATAAGAAAAACGGTATTTTACTTTATATAAAACATCTAATTTGAGGATATGTACGTGAGTAAAGGTGAAGAGAAGATGCACATCCATACCCTCAAGTCATTGGAAGTCTCAAAAGTATATCTTTAATATGCGCAAAATTCGATCACCTTTGAAAAATGTTTGTTTATTTTGGAGATCTAACTCTACAAAACAATTGTACTGATTGCTCAATAGATATCGTTATTTGTCCAGATTATTTCAAAGATCATTCATAAAACTTTCAAAAACGTTCGAGAATCAAAACTATTTTTATGAATTCGCACATTAAACAACATGTTAATATGCTTATCTCAAAAATAATTTTTTTTGTTGAAAATCTAGTTTTCTGAGGTGCGTGAACTTTATCAATGATCATTGGAATAGTATCAAAATAAATTATTTAATTATTTTTCTCATTTTTTTAATGAAAAATCTCTCCAATAAAAACAGACAAAGAATGGGTCCTCAGATAGATTCGGGATCATAAACGATCATCATCAAAACAAGAAAAGAAATAAAAAGATAATGTGAGTTTTTCTGTTCTTTTCGTTAATTATATGTTTGTATTTCTTAATAATGTTAATTGCAGATGTTCACGTCGATGTGTGGTGATATCTATTCTTCTTGCATTAATGCTTGCAATCATTATTACTACAGTTGTACTTGTTTCTGTGGGAAAGTCCAAAACAACAACATGTAAGATCGAATGTATTTTTCTCATTTGTATTCAATGATTTACATGAATAAATTTACAGCAGAAGAATCTCAAGAGCATGTTTCACAATTGAATAAACAATTTCTTGATTTGTTTTCATCACCATTGATAGAAAGAAGAATTTACTTGGATAATGAATATATTTAATGAAAGCATTGATTCATTTTTTTTAAGTACAGAGATGACTATTATCCTTACAAACAAGTTCTTTGTCGTTTCAACGACACAAAAGGTTGGGTTTTATTTTATTTTTCAGCTCCAATAGCTGTACTCCGTTGGAATCAAACAGGTATTACTGTAGCAGGTATTAGCGGAATAGCAGGCAATGCCAGTAATCAAGTCAATGGTCCTTATGATGCGACAATAGACTATCAAAATAGACTATACATTGCAGATACCTATAATCATCGAATTCAAAAATACGTGATGAATGCTTTAAACGGTACAACAATATGTGGAAATGGATCAACTGGTTCGTCGTTAAATCAGTTGACATATCCTTCGCAGGTACTGGTTGACTTAAATGGAAATATTCGTGTGGCAGATTTTGGACGTCATCAAGTTCTATTATATAATGGTACATCAACCGGCTTTCTCATTGGAAGTTCCGGTAAGTAAAAATGATAAATACTCATTTTTTTCGTTTTATCAACTAACTAATTGACTAAAATCATTTTTCCTGTGATATGATGTTAGGAAGACTATTCTAGAAGACTTGTAGTCTTGAGAATATTTTTCCATAATTGAGGATTGTCTTAGTTGTTATGTAATTCTCTTTTTTTTCTAACTCCCTAACAGAAAAAAAAATATTTTGTTTACTCTTAGCTCCAATTAGGATTAAATTAGAGTTCACAAATTGATGGAACATGTTCCATTCAAAATTAGCCATTGTTACTTCAGACTATGTTCAGTGTATCTTCTTATATCAGTTCGCAGCATTTAAAGATACGTTGTCGATTGTTTATTTTAAAAAATTATTTAAGTATTAGAGTTTTACATCATTGGAATAAACTACATATTTAAGGACACGCTACAATGTTTTATTGGAAACTATTCGTTCCAAGTATATTCGATATTTGCTAACTAGATGAAAGATATTAGATTATAAAAACTCTTCTCCGCAATTTTTTTCAAAAACAAAGAAGTAAATTCTTCAGCTCTCGTCATGTCAATCTCATCGTATCATGCGGTACAAAACTTGACTAATTTCCTGAATAGTGTCTGAAAGCTGTACTTATATACTAGAAAACTTCAATTAAAAAGTTTATTTTAGGTGGTTACGGTATTTTAAACAATCAATCCAGACATCCTTATGGTATTGAATATGATTCAGCTTCCGACACACTTTACATAGCAGACTATACGAATAATAGAATTATGTGCTATGTATCGGGAGCATCATCAGGTTTTTTGGTTGCTGGCAACAGTACGCCGGGAACTAGCACTACACTACTAGAAAACCCTGTTCGTGTTTATTTTAATTCATTCTCAAACAGTCTTATCATTGTCAATCACATAGCCAATAATATTGTTCGCTGGCCGTTAGGTGCCACTAATTGGACACTTCTCGCTGGTGATATCAATGGAAATCAAGGAAATAATGCAACTACATTATATCATCCAATAGATGTGACTTTGGATCCTATGGGCAACATGTATGTTGCTGATAGAGAAAATCATCGAATACAATTATTTATGAATGGACAAACAGAAGGAATAACAATTGCTGGAGTAACAGGGGTTAATGGTGGAAATTCTACTTTGTTCAATAGTCCCTGGTTGATAGAACTTGATAGTCAACTCAATTTATATGTTGCCGATTCAAATAATCATAGAATACAAAATTTTTTACGGTATTGAAGAGAACTTGATTGATAAATATTACATTAAATCAATTGTGAATTCATTTTCTTTGGTTCATTCCCTTTCAATAAATGGCATACATCATTTTTTCCTAAAAATTTTTGTTCAAATAATATCTTTTCAAAACATCTAAATGCAAAGTGGTATGTTTGAATGATATGAAACTGACAAAAACACTGCCTAATGTAGTGATTCTTCATAGCCTATGAAACATGTTTCATTTTTAATATTTAAGTCAATAGATACAGCTATCCATATTTTTCACCGTAACTTTGGCATATATGGTTGTTCACAACTACATATAGTACGTAAAAATGATCATGTTTTCTCCCAATCTTGGTCGTGAGAATGTAAAACCGTATCCGATCGTATTGTTTGATCGGAACTGCTACAGAAGAAACATAAGATAGTCTAGTTTTTCATGTTAATGTTTCTAATTTATGTATGTCAATCTGTACAAGTATCACCCAAAAACGAATTCATTTCATCATGTTCAAGACATTGAACGAAAGGTGGTTGAGTAGTCAGAAAGTAGAGATTTTCTAAAAATTTACTTTGGCTTTTCAAATGACGATGAATTCTATGACACGACCTGATTTGTCTAAATTTGCCATATTAAAGTTATCTCTTCGAGAAAACAAAACTATTTGATAAGAAGAAATACAATGAAAAACTTCACGAGTGAAAAATCATTCGAACTATTCAAAAGCTATTTTGTCAACTCTGATATATAATTTCATATCAATTCGATAATCTGTTACAGTAAAACCTCCCATAGTGGATACCTCCATATAGTGGACACTCCGCGGTCCGACGGAGAGATTTTTGCTGGAACTGAACCTCCCTATAGTGGACACCATCCGATACTGGACATTTTGAGAAGTCTCATTCAGTGTCAACTAAAGAGCCTTCCTGTATTCTAACAATTGTTGATTTTTTTGTATTTCAAGAACAAAAATGCATGAGGAGAGAAGTAACAATGAGCACTGACTAATTAGTTATCTTATTCACTAACACCCTTCAAATCCTTAGAAAACGCGCCCGCTTCTTCGAAAAACTTCGCTTTTTGAAAAGACCAAACCTCTCTATAGTGGACACCTCCATATAGTGGACACTTTCAAAAAGTCCCATAGGTGTCCACTATAGGGAGGTTTTACTGTACTGTAAATTCAAATCAAAATATCTATTCGAGTGCATCTCAAACAAGTTTTCGATCGTAAATAATAAAATCTTTGAATTCAGAAATAACAAGCAAGAGTTTGAGTAATAAAAAAAATAGCGAAGTTTTGAAAAAATTTAACAAAAGTATTCCTCATATTGTTGTTGAAGACCATAGTAATTAGAATGCATAGAACTATCAATTTTTTATCGCACACTTTTCTTATAGCATACTAAGCTATAATTAAGTATATTTAGTGAATCATAGTAATGATTTTAGAAAAGTTTCCATTTGTGAACTATATGTCAATAACTGTAACAAGTGAATATACTAGTGCTAAATAGTGTATTATATAAATCATCTACTAACTCAAGAAAGATGACAAACTGCATTGCTATTCTTAAACATTTTCTTCCACAACTGATCTACTACTCTCTATTTGCTATAATGCTCCCTCGTCATATGATTCCATGGCAAATCTAATTGAGTTCGTGAATAGTTTCTTAAAAATTTAATTTTAACATGAGTGAACTTTCTAATAGAAAATTTTACGCAGATCTTATTATCATCTGGTGTTCACAACTTCAATAATTGAATTAGTGTTCTGTATGATATTATGCATGATATAGTATCTGATACAATTCACATAGTGGTGTGGGTGTTGATTTGAGTGAAGAGAAGACACACACACCATCGAATATTGAGCAAGTTTATGGCGTAAAGATATGCATAGCCAGGACCAAAATTTGAAGACTCACCAAGATTTGAACTAAAGATTACAGTTAAATGTTCGTTGTTTGAAGCGAAAACTCTTATAAAACATATTTATCAAAACAAGCTCAGGAGGAAAGATCAAAAACAAGGTAACATTCATCGATTGAATTAATTAGAAAACATGTGCTAGGGACATTATTAGATTCGATGCGAATAAAATTTGAAATAATTTCGTCTAGGTTGAGACCAGGCCGAATATGCAGAAACTGAAAAAGAACTTCTGTTAGCTAATAGAAATTGATATTTCGATCAGTAATCTCAATTATACAATAGCAGCAATAGTATATACAAGAATAAATACAGAATTGAACAATACAAATGTTATTGTATTACTAAAAAGTAAATAAATAATAAATAAGTCCCATAGGATTATCTCCCATGGGGGCCAATAGATAAAAGAATAAGATCTTTCCAACCTTTTCTATTCTGAGCTAGATGGAAAAGATCTTGTGTATTGCAGTTGCATCAATCTGTGATATCGTCTAACCATTCTCTAGAAGGACGGCCAACTCGAGACTTCCCATCCGTTCTAGAGAATACCACTTGCTTTACTACCCTGCTATCATCCATTCTACTAATATGTCCAAATAATTGTAACTTTCTCTTCTTTATGATATCCATAATAGTGGTTTTTCGGGATATCATTTTTATTATAGTCTCATTTGATACTTTATCTGTCCATTTGATTTTTAATATTCGCCGGTAGCATTTCCTCTCAAATGCTAGTAATTTCTTTTTATCAATTTCCTTTAGTGTCCATGTTTCTGATGCATATAATAAAACAGTGAACACAGTTGTAGTTAGGATTTTTAGTTTACTTTCTACCTTGATCTTTCCACTACTTATTATATGTTTTAAAGAAGCTAATACTCCTGTTGCCTTGCTAATTCTTCTTTTGATTTCTTCGGTGTAGTTATTATCCCAAGTTAAAAGACTTCCAAGGTATTCGAATTTGTTGACATTTTCTATGACTTCTCCAGATATCTTAATCTTTTGTTTATTGTCTTTTTCCCAGAATACCATTATTTTTGTCTTTTTTACGTTTGTAATTAGTCCAGCGGGCTTCGCTGAATTGTCCGTGGTTTCGATTTGCTCTGTAAGACTATTAAAATTTTCGTCGATAAGATCTATATCATCAGCAAATCTTAGGTTATTTATTACATTTCCATTGATGTTGACTTCACAAGGTTTTTGTTTTACCTTCTCTATTATTCGCTCGAGGTATGTTATAAATAGAAGCGGAGATAATGGATCTCCTTGCCTAGTTCCGATGCTGGTATAGAATCATTCTCCATCTTCCTTATTTATTCTGATAGCTGATTGAGCTTTTCCATAGATTTTCTTTAATAATCTGATTCGTTCACCATCGACACTATAAGATTTCAATACTGTCCACAAAACTTTATTGTTAACAGTGTCAAAAGCTTTCTGGAAATCTGTGAAGCAATTATAGATTTTTTTACCTTTCCTTTTTGCCTTTTCCGCTATAAGTCTCAATATTAGGATTTGGTGAACAGTACTTCTATCTTTTCTGAACCCTGATTGTTCTTCAGAAAGATAGGGATTCAACTGATATTGAAGTCTGTTTAGTAGTATTATTAAAAAGATTTTACTAATATGATTAAGAAGGGAAATAGTTCTGTAGTTTGAACATTCTGATAAATCCCCCTTCTTTGGTAATGGGATGAAAATTGACTTTCCCCCATCTTCTGGAATCACTTCGCTATGCCATATTTTATTACACAGTTTGTGAATTTCATGTGCAAATGACTCTCCACCAATTTGTAATAATTCAGCTTGGATTCCATCTAAACCAGGACTTTTATTCTTTATTAATGATTGTATGGCTTGTTCTACCTCCGAAAATAGGATATCATGAGATTCTTGCTGAATTGGTGGAGAAATTTCTTCTAATTCTTTTATTATTATATCTCCTCCACCATTATCTTTGTATAAATTACTGCAATATTGAGTCCATCTTTTTTGATCGCTTCTTTAGATTGTAGCAATTTTCCATCATGACTCCGTAATATATTTAATCGTGGTATAAAATCTTTCGTTTTTAGTGTTTTTAGTAAGCTATACGCTTTCCTGGTGTTACCTACTCTTAGATCTTTATCAATTTCTGTATACTGTTCCTGCAACCATTGTTCTTTATTCTGTTTTACTGATCTTTTTACTGAATTGCAGGCTTCTCTATATTTATTGTTGTTTTCTGTTGATATATTCTTTGTTAGCTTCGCTAAACATTTCTCCTCGACAAGCTTTCGTGTTTCTGCGGAAATCCATGGTTTCCTAGATGATTGTATTGTAGGAATAACTGTATTTCCTGTTTCTCGGGTAGCATTTAGTATTTCTTTGGAGTGTTCTTCGATATACTATCTGGTTGAAATTTTTTGATTTTTTCTTTTAATAGATCGATGTAGAGTCCTTTGGTAGTAGTATTGTTCAACTGGTTTATGCTTAATCTGTAGTTCTGATTTCTCTTATGGTATATCTTCTTCAGATGTAATTTGATGTTGCATAATACCAGTGAATGATCTGAACCAATATCTGCACTTTGGAATGTTCTGCAGTTAATTACAGAAGATTTCCATCTTTTTTGAACTAAGATTAAATCGATCATGTTTTTATGAACTCCGTCAGGTGACTCCCAAGTCCATTTTCGATCTACTTTATGCTGGAATCTCGTATTACAGATGAATAATCTATGTACTGTTGCAAACTCTAGGAGACGGTCTCCACGATCATTCCTGTCTCCAAAACCGTATCTACCCATCACAGAATTCCATCCAGTGTTATCATTGCCAACTTTCGCATTCCAGTCGCCAGACATAAGAATAAGATCTTTCTTAGGAACCTTGGCTAGAGTATTCTCGATGCAATTGCAAAACGCCTCGATTTCCTCATTTGAAGATGCAGACGTTGGTGCATATACATGAATTGCCGTGATTTTATATGGAGTTGCATTAAATCTTGCTGTGATTATTCGTGGACTAACTGGATTATATCCAATTAAAGCATTTTTAGCCTTCCCACTTGGTAGAAATCCTACTCCATTTGC